ACCTATAGTCAAACTAAATTAAAAGATTTGCTCTCAATGGAAACAAATCTTTTTTGTACTAATTTTCTTCCTATTTTTCGTAAAAAGTTAAGCCTACACCATCAAAATCGCACCATCCCTCGGTGCAACTCTAGAATATGATAGTTAACAACGAAGATTGGACAAACCGGCAAAGGAAATTTTACCAGGGCCACTCATTTGGCTCCATTTGCATGGGGCCTTAATTTCGTTACTTATGGAAAAAGAATGCACAGGTGAAACTAGACGAAAGATGGCCCACGGTCCATTTTTAATTGGTCCTTAAAGTGTCAGACGCAGATTGTTAGATAATTGCATAATCTAGTTTCAGATGTACCATATAAGAAAAAAAAAAAGGATACTATTTACATCAGAGCTACCCCGAACGGCATTTATGCAGAGACTGATAAAATGACCTTCTACATTTTGCAAGTTATCCAAAAAAGATAATGACATAATGATATTTAGGGGAAAAAAAATGGGAAAAAGACCTCAATTCATAACTACACATTTCACAGGAACTTTTCCCTTCGGCTTTTTCATTGTCTTATTAATCACAAACTACAGAATTTCTTTCCCAGGTTTTAACTTTACCAGTCTGATACACCTTTTGCCTGCGATATAGCAGTTTTTAAGTGAGATTTTGCCAAGCAGAGTTATCGGTGACTTTCAAAATTAAGATCAAACTCTTCATTGATATGAAATACTTTCAACATCTCCCTGGTGTCTTTCAAACCATCCGCAACAATATATGGCAAACATCTCTGATCAAACAGACAATACATCATGCACATTATATTACGGCAGCTTAAATAATAAGTACTTACATGTACATTGTTCAGATTCTTTGTGACTCACGAGTCCTCACTACTGAGGTCACCCCACCGAACATTGTGCTTAGCAGCAAGATAATGTGCTCCAACGGGTCCTCTGCTCCCGTAAGGGTAGAGCTCTGGAACAATCTTCTTTTCTTCAAGTTCCTTCAGCACTGGTGTAAATAGTGCCCAAGCTGCATCTAGCTCATCACTTCTTATAAACAACCTTCGCTCTCCTTCTATTGCATCTAAGAGAAGTCTCTCGTATGCATCTGGAATTTCTCTTGGGTACCTTCAAATCAAGAATGGAGCCTTAAAATAATGCCAAAAAGAACGTTCAAAAAGTTACAAATTATGAAATAGATGCATGAATATTATGCACAAGGCAGTTCATCAGGAGTAGGAAACAAATGGAAGAAAGAAAATACTTTCGCTAGACAAAAGTTTTGTGTTGAAATCCAAGAAAAGATGCAGAGAAGGATACAAACTTTGCCATTTTTTTTTATTTAAGGATATAAACTTTCAATTTTTTCTATTTGAGAATGCCAACTTTGCATTTTTTTTCTATTTAAGGAGTAATTGGATGGTGATGTTGATGTGGCAAATGGCTTTTTAAACCATCCAATTAATCCTTACATAGAAAAAACACAAAGTTGACATACTTAAATAGAAAAAATTAAGAGTTTACTGCCTTATTTTGAAAATGGCAAAGTTTGTATCCTTATCTGCACCTTTTCTTGTCAAGATCTATAGCGGTCGTGATACCATTTGCATAACCATTAAAGTACAATGCATTTAATCAGGAGTAGAGCATCAAGAAAATACTAAGTTCTATAGGCTTAGTACCTTGCTCGATAAAGCAAATTAAGGTCACTACGATCCAATTTCATTCCAAGACCTGGAACTTTGTTATTTATCTTCAGATATATGGCTTCATCAGGTTGCACATGCAGCACAAGCTCATTTGTAGCCTTATCCAGATCAGTTCCAAAATTATGCTTGTATAAATTACCAGGGACATGTCTGAACTGAACCCTGATCTCAGCCCTGGAATTTAAAATTGTCATCAGCTTTTCAGATAAATTCAATTATGGTTGTACATTAAACACACAGATCTTGATAATGAGAGTACAAGGAATTCTACCTACCGCTTTGTATTGAGAGCTTTGCCAGCTTTCATCAAGAATGGGACTCCATCCCATCTGGCGTTGTTTATGAATAGAGCTGCTGCAGCAAATGTTGGTGTAAGACTGTCATTTGATACAGTTGGGTCATCAGTATAACCTGGATATGATTTAGCTCCTTTGCTGTGGCCCTTATACTGACCAACAACAACATCTTCAAGCTGCAGTGGTCTCATTGACCTCAAAACCTTTACCTGAGAAAAGGTCATGTACCATATTTAACTTGGATTTTCTAAAATAGAACTGTTAGGAAATCCAAAAGAAGGGAATAAAATAGTCAACAACACAGAATAGCAAGCAAGAAACAAATGGAAGAATGTTCTGTGGTATAGATCATCTAGAAGGAAATAATAATACCTTTTCATTCCTAATGTCCTCAGCAGCTAAGCTGACAGGAGTCTCCATTGCAAACAGTGCAAGTATTTGCAAGAGATGATTTTGCATTATATCTCGTATGATTCCATAGTTATCGAAATAACTGTGATTATCAACACATTGTTACATGATCTTGGTCTCTGCAAAGAATGATCTTTATTTAATGGCAAAAATATCAAAGAGCATACAGAACTCACCCCCCACGTCCCTCTGTACCAAAATCTTCAGAAAATATGAACTGCACATTGCGGATGTAGTTCCTTGACCATAAAGGTTCGAAAACAAGATTTGAGAAGCGAAGCACTGAGAGGTTCTCAACAAGCTCCTTTCCCAAGTAATGATCAATCCTAAACAAGCAGAAACAGATCAAATCTTTTATATTTGTCATTAATTTGCATTTTTCTATCCAAAAACAAGTAACTTAAACATACCTAAATATTTGATCTTCAGTTAGATACTGCTTAAGAGATCTTGTTAATTCACCTGATGACTCTGAGTCACGACCGAATGGCTTTTCAACAATCACCCTTGTCCATCCATTTGCTGAAGAAGCTTTAAGGCTAGCACATCTCACCACATGCACAAATATGTTTGGAGGTATTGACAAGTAAAATAGCCTATTAGACAGTTTTCCATCCTGAAATGAAGCATTTCCAGCATTATAAGAACATACAGAGTGGGCCACAAAAAAAACAAAAAAGACATAGAGAAGTCTCACATGAACCAGAACTTAGGCCATTTCTAGCATCTATTGCTTCAACATTGCATCTGGAAATTGTTTAATAGATCTGAAAGCAGGCTATTATAGATATGGTTTGGTATATATCTTGTCTGTATTGTCTCCTAGGTGGCTCCTTGTCTCCCTTATCAGCTTCACATGCTGCCTGCACTCCCTTTTCCTCTCATTTTGGAATTTGGCAGCCAGTTAAATTCCCCGTCACACATCACAGCCAGCAAATTAGATTTGTAAGTTCAATGGTTCTATTTGTGTTATCTAATGTTGGAATTTTGTCAGCCAAACCCAAGAAGGTACGACCAGAAAGAGCTTGGCCTGTGCTTGTGTTTGCTTAAGGGTTTCCATAGGAAACATGAGTAGGTGATATTAATTTTTGTAAGCAAAACCCAAGAATAAACAACTAGAAAAAGCTTAACCCATGCTAGTTTTTATATTTAGTTCAAATGTAACTGACATTGTCCAGGTCAGTCCTGCCCATTCCGCCTTCTTTTAGTAATCCGGATACCTGTCTTTGATTTGCAATGTTATGTTGCACCAACAAAACCTATTGTTTGCGTCAAAATAACCGAATCTTTAGGTCAGTTCAGTTTTCGATCATGATGTAGGATTCAGTTAGTTCATTGTATTAGATTTTGTAATTTGGCAGATCGAAAAAAAAAAAAAAGATTTTATAATTTGAACTGTTTAATAAAACTAGCTAACCAAATGCTCAACCCTATTTGGACCCCATCTTGAACAGAAACCAAGATGAAACAATTTACAGAATGGTTCTACTTATAGTTACTCCTAGTAAACACAAAGGTTTGGACCCCTAGGTGACAGTTATGAGATTGGAGGAAGAGGAAGCTTACAACACTTTTTATATGACCAAAATAAAAAATATCTAAGATGTGCATTAAATCATCCAAGTTAGAGAAAAAAGAACATTATTTTGAAGCAGAAAAAACCACATCATATTTTCTCACACTCAAGTCTCATCCCATTGAAATGTAAGGAAACTGAATTTTCTTGCTATTATATACCAGCTGCTTAAGCTATCTGACTCTAGTGAATTTCATTATTACATTACATGTTCAATGCAACCTTTGGTATAAAATCATTAGAAATAAGATTTATGGAGATCAAAACTGTTAAAAGCAAAAGCAAATAAAACACCATACCTCTTTCTGTTTCAGCTTACAATCTAGTTCTGCAAAATGCTCCTCAGAGTCATACTGCCCAGATTGGTAATAGCATCTCTTCAAAAACTTGTCCATTTTGTCTTCACAATTTTCCCTAATGCATATTAAATATAAGCAAAATGGCAAATATTTCCAATTATAAAGTACATATGATCCTGATTAGCACATTAAATTACCTCTTGTCAATTCTACACGTTAAAGTTTTGCTGATCATGTTCCTTAGCTCTTCATCCGTCAGTTTAGTTCGAGCATAACCAAAAATTGTAAAATTCTGCATAACAAGATGCAAGGTAGGAAAAGATAAAAGCTCATTGACTATTACCAAAGCTCTTTCTTACCTGGGAAATTTCAATTATGTGCATGCCGAGTAAGTAAATATATGTTACGTATAGAAGTGATACCTCAGGTAGACAATCTTCATAGTACAGAGCAAAAAGTGCTGGAAATATTTTCTTCTTAGCAAGGTCCCCGGAAGCTCCAACAACCGTTATACTCAGAGTAAACTCTATCTTCCCTGGTTCTGAAAAGTGAAAGAAATCTTCTTTCTCTGGGTGTTCAACATTTACTTTTCCCAATGGGCTTCCAGCTATACCTAATCCAAAGAGCCACCATCAAGCATCAGTAACCCGGGACAAAACTTGGAAAGAAAAGTGATACAGAAGGGATGAGTTCCCAGATTGAAAGAGGCACGTTGCAAGGCGAAAAGCACAATATCCACACCTTGCTTCTCAAGGGATAGAAGTTTTTAATTACATTTCTTGAGGATTATCGCCACACCTGATTAGGATCATATGCAATGGCAGCTCAGACTGAAATAAGTGCTGAAAGTTTAAGAATTGGCCTTTCCATTCTAATTGACAACCTAAATAAACCTCCAAACTAGAATTATCTAACGATTTCCAAGAGTCATACATTATGATTTCCAATGTTTTTCTATTAGAAGCTCTTAACAGGTATCATTCACCACGACATACTCCTCCAGCCCGAACCTTCTACTCCCTCTCCCTTAATTATGCCTCTACAGTTCCACTAAAGATGCATGTGCTGGGCAGATTGCAGTAATTAACAAGAAATCAAACAGTATCAAAACCAAAGCCAGAGCCAATATCTATTTAAAAGCTCAAATTTCACTTTGGAAACAAACCATATTGATGAATCACATAATTTAGACAAAAAGAAAAGGGAAATCATATGTGGCATGCTTGAAATAGAAAACAAGGACTACCATCTTGCAAAGAAATTGCGTTGGGTGAATGCCCATTTGAGGATTTGATCCGGAAACGCCTTCTTGTTTGAATTTTTAACCGAATTCTAGAGGCCCATGTGGGAAAACTAGATGTGCTTGGCTGCAAAACACTGAATTTAGCGGATTGCTGAGTTCCGTGGTTGAATGAGGACGGAGAAAAGGTGGGTGAGGAAGAAGAATAAGTACTGAAGTGTGCAGCCATTTCATTTGATCAAGCAAAATGAGTGAGCACAATTTATTTTGGTTTTAAGCAAGTAGGTTTTTGGGAAAGAAAATGATAGATATCGAAATGGATTGGCCCTTGTGATCTTTCAAGAGGTGGGAATTCAAACTAAACTGAATACTTTTAAATGATGCTAGAGCAAATCTAGTGTAAGGTCAGGATATTTTTAAAGATCCTTCAAACCTTATCAGGTTATACATAATGGAACTCATGTATTAGAGTTTGGATTGTCCATTAAAATAAAATTTGATTTATAAATTTATTAAAATATTTTTAATAAAATAATATAAAAAACAGTTTCATTAAATATATTTTAAGAAATTTATAAAACAAAATTATAATTTTAATATATTCATCTTATAAAATACCTTTTTGATACATCATACTTATTTATTTTCCTTTATGTGTTTACCCTTGCTACAAAATCTTTAGGGTGTGTTTGGTAGGGGAAGTGTTTTCTCTCTTTCTATCAAAGTTTGAGGGTATTTTAATATTTGTACACATTAGTATTATAATAAATAAAGCATAAAGTTGGTAATTTTAGCCTTTATTATCCCTCATATAATTCCAATCTTTTCTTCCCACAATTTTTGAAGGCAAAAACTTTTTAATTTTCTAATGTGAAATTCAATTAACAACTTTTAGCCAACTTTCGCAAATCAAACTCTTAAATTTGCCATTCAAAAAAAAAAATCAATTATTCCTTTAAATTATCGATTAAAACATATGACTTATTATTTAATAACTAACGTTATCACACGTCAATTTTCAACTAAATACTAACTTCTTAACAAACGTGAAAAAGTTAGTAACTTAATAAAATTTTAACAAAATTTGATTATATTAATTTCTAATAAAGTACTTTCCCAATAAAGTAGACTTTTAATCAAATAGGCCCTTAAGACATGTTTAGGGAAAAATTAGTTAAAGAAAGGGGAGGGAGTTAAGGGGAGGGACTTTAAAGACAAGGAGATGATTGATGATTTTTTTTTTTAAATAAAAAAGCATAACTTTATTAAAAAGATTAAAGTAGATATAATTCAAGTTATACTCTTGCCATATAGACTAAACAAAAAATGAAAAAAGTCTAAAATTTCTTATAGTACTAATACAAAGAAATAGTATTTATGACATGTATGAACAATTAAGTGCTGAGAGACTCAAAGTATTAGTAGTTATTGTAGGGTTTCAATAGGGTTATGCAAACACATGAAAAAGTGATTCTTGGACTTTTCTATTGCCTTCTAGCAATCGAATATATCATACCACTCTTTTCTAGCATGTAATCATGATTTTTTGGGTAGAAAATTAACTAAGGACCCCAACCCTTAACCATGTTACCAACAGTTAAAGAAAGTGCTATAATCAAACTGAGTTCATCTAGCTTCAAAGTCAAATCTACATTGTCTTCATTTTCTATAATGGACAAAACATGATGAGATACATCAAGAAAACCTAAGTAGAAAGTTTCAAAAGGAGGTAACAAAACCTTTGAGAAAACCCTCAAATAGAGAGGGACAATCCCATCTTTATCCATCCTCTTTAACTATTAAGGGGAATGGAGATAGTGACTAGGAGGAAAGAAGAACCAAGAGAGGAGGGAGAAGATGAGGTGTGAGAGAGAGGGAGGGGAGGCATCTTTTTCACATATTGTTGTTAGTTTTAAGAAATAATTGGTGTTAATTTTGTTTCAATAAACAAAAGTGGAAAAGAGAAACAATAATATTTTTATTTAATTAAATAGTTTTAAAAAATTAAAATAGAATAAAATTTTTTATTTTTACTAATTAAATAAAGATATGTATGTATTTATCTATTTATAAAAAAAAAATAAACAGCCCAATTTAGCTAATTCATAGCATCCTTAAGTTTAATTAAACAATTTAAAGAAGAGTAGTAAAATATTTAGGTTATTTTCCTTTTGCATTTCTTAGCCAGCTTGAGGTGTTATTTATTAAATACAAAATCTCTATTTTTTTTATCTACTTAGTTGGAGGCTTAACTTTATTGAATTTTCATATTAATCTTGTAAGTCTAATAATTAATAAAATTTAATATAGTTAAATATATAAATAAAAATTATTTTTTTGATAAAAAAATTATAAAAATTAGGTTAATGTGAAAATTGACATATATGATGTATTTGGATATAATATGTAATCTAATAGCTAGTTTTTTTAAAATATTAATTATAAAATGTGTTTTTAGACAAATTTTCAAAAAGAAAAAAATTTAAGGGAAAGACTTGTGCTAAACTAACCCACACAATACATACCATACATATATAGAAAAAATATCCATCAGCCTATAGTCCACAAAATCAAGCTATTTATTGTTGTCCAACTTGGAAGGTATAAGGAATTTAATATCAAATCTTGGATATATTGTACACAATCTGCAATTACCTTTTCTTTAGGCTTAAGTTTAGGCTTGATTTAATTTCTCTTTTTCATGTATACATATGTATCCATTCAATTAAAGTAACTAATATAGAGAGAAATCTTCATATTCATCAATTTGCATGGTATTAGAACAGGAGTGCCTTCCTCCAGCACAACCCTAATTTTTTTTTTCTCTACCATCATCCTCATCATGTCTATTCGTGGTGCCACCCTACTCAAAATAGTGCTTTTAATGCATCTTGACCATTCTACATGCATCACTCTAATCAAAGTACTGTCTTAGTTTCTCAACCCTTATTAGGTGACAACTATCCCACATGGAGTTGTGCCATCACCATGGCTTTTGAAACAAAGAATAAGCTAGGTTTTCTGGATGGCACCATTTCAAAACCCATAAAAACATCACTAAATTGTACACTTTGGAGTCGGTGCAATAACATGGTTCTTTCTTGGCTTTTCAATTCACTATCTAAGGAGATAGCTAATAGTGTTGTTTTCATGAAAAATGCCCACACTGAATGGGTAGATCTAAGGGATCGCTTTTCCTAACAAACATTCCTCAGATCTATGAGATAGAGAGATCTATTATTAACCACTTACAATGGAATGATTCCGTTACCACCTATCACACTGGTTTGAAAGCTTTTTGGGACAAATTGGCTACTAATAAAGTCTATCTTATTTTTACTTGTGGAGAAATGAGTGAATTCCATGCACTTGGGGAACAAAGTCGATTAATGCAATTCCTTATGGGGCTCAATGACTCCTATACAAATTTGAGGAGCCAAATTTTATTAATGAATATATTGCCCACAATAACAAAGCTTGTCTTTAGTATTACAAGAAGAAAGACAAAGATCAATACAACCACTAGTTTCTCCTCCATACTCAAAGCAATCGACTATGGCTATTTCCCACACACAGGGATTGCCAGTTAATTCTTGTCCCAATCGAAATAAATCTAGTAAGTGATTCTATCGTTGTGACTATTGTGGTCTCAGTGGGTACTTTGAATCTAGATGTAGAAGGAAGCCAAGGAATCCAAATTATCAACCATGATGAGAATTTAGAGACTCGAGAAATCAAGACAATTTTTAATCAAAGTAGAATCCTGGTAATAGACAGATGCTGGCTTCCTATACACAAACTGCTTCCACCAAGCCCATGGTTGAAGTTGTTGATCAAAGGGCATTTGACTCGAACCATGGTTCTCCTTTCACTCAAGATCAAATCAAACAACTTTTATCTCTTATTCACCTGACCACCTCAAATATTTCCAATCCCTTACTCAACATGGCAATTATTGTTTTTTGTTTTTCTAAGTTTAATGCACATTGGATTATTGATTCTAGATGCACTGACCATATCTCCAGTTCCTTAAATATTTTATCCAACCAGAACCACATATAGGATCACTAGTAAAACTCTCAAATGGAAACTACGTTCCAGTCACTATTTCTGGTTCACTTTGTCTTAATTCCTCTTTTAAATTGGACAATATCTTACATGTGCCTTTGTTTCAATTTAGTCTTTTATTTGTCCATAAAATTACACAGTCTCTTAATTGTTTAGTGACCTTTTTCCCTAACATATGCATTTTTTCAGGACTTGTCAACGAAGAAGGCAATTGGTTTAGCAAAGGAGTGTGATTGTCTGTACTACCTTGACTCAAGCCCATCCTTTTCACATGCTTCTCTTACTGCGAGTACACAGTCCATTGTAGACCTTTGGCACTATCACCTTTGACATCCTAGTCATAATATCTCAACTTATTTTTCATCACTAGATAGTAAAATTTTATTTAATAAGTGTTCTTACACTATTTACCCTATGGCTAAACAAACCCGATTACCTTTTTTCAATTAGTTCTATTTCAAGTTTAAATTGTTTTGATTTACTTCATATGGATATTTGGGGTCCTTACTCCACTACATCTCTCATAGGTGCTAAATATTTTTTAACTATTGTGGATGACTTCTCACATAACACATGGGTTTTCCTCTTACAACATAAATCAAAAACCCTTTCACCTGTTCAAAATTTCTTTTCCATCATCACAATGCAATTTTAATTACCAGTCTGGCGCATTTGGAGTGACAATGGTTTTAAATTTTTTAGTAAAGATTTTATCAAGTTTCTTCAATCTCATGGCATAATTAGTGAACATAGTTATGTTAATAGACCTCAACAAAATGGGGTTGTAGAATACTAATATCGTCATTTATTAAACATGGCTAGAGCACTCTATTTTCAATCACATCTTCCTCTTAAGTTTTGGGGAGAATGTGTTTTAACTACTGCATACCTTATCAATAAAACCCCCATCAAGCTGCTCAATGACAAAACACCTTATGAAATTCTTTTTCAAAAACCACCCATGTATGCTCACTTATGTGTGTTTGGTTGTCTATGTTTTGGTCAAAATGTCAATATCAAACATAAGTTTAATCAACATGCTTGATCAGGCATTTTCATTGGTTATTCATTTGGTCAAAAAAAGTACAAAATTTTTTATATTCATTCCCAAAAATTGTATGTTAGTTGGGATGTTACTTTTTCATGAGTCTACTTTTCCTTTTCATCTTGTGACTAAAGATGCCAAGCCTTTGCCATTGCTGATAACCATTCCAGACTTTGATCTTCATGATCCTACTTAAACACTCCCTCAGTAAGCCACTCCACCTACGGCACCTACCAACTCCAATGATATCTCTTTACCCCCACCATTTAGCCAACCAAGACAATCCACATGCTACTGCCCCTCCATTAAGGCGATCACATCACCACATTCGACCACCATCAAGGTAAAAGGATTATCATCGCTTTACTACACTAAATCATTCACACATTTCTTCCTTAGGTATAGCTTTTCCCCTTGACAAATATTTATCATACTCTCGATTGTCTTCAACTCACCATGCTTTCCTTAGTTCCATCTCTTTTGATATATAACCTTCTAACCTTAAGTAGGCAATTCAATGTCTTGAGTGTAGGATCACCATGGATACCAAGCTTCATGCTTTGGAAGACACTCATACATGGTCCTTGGTGCCCTTACATCTAGACAAGAAAGTAATTGGTTGTAAGTGGGTTATAAAATTAAACGTTATTCTGATGGAAGTATTGAAAGGTATAAAGCATGCCTTGTGGCAAAAGGCTTTACTCAGATCAAAGGGATTGATTATTATGATACCTTTACTCTTGTTGCCAAACTTCTCACTGTTCATATTCTATTGGCTATATTAGCAATTAAAAATTGGTCTTTGCATCAACTAGATGTCCAAAATGCATTTTAACATGGTGATCTTCATGAGGAAGTATATATGGGCTTGCCACCAAGCCATCCAAGAGAGGGGGAGCGTAACCTTGTTCGCAAATTATAGAGGTCTCTTAATGACTTGAAACAAGCCTCTCGAAATTGGTTCTTGAAGTTTTCTCATGCCTTATTGGATGTTGGTTTTGTCCAATCTGTTGCAAATCCTTCTTTATTTGCTTTCCACCATGGCTTTTCCTCTGTTTATATGCTTTTATATGTTAAAGATATGGTCTTAACAAGGAATAATTTGGATTTCATATTTTGAGTGAAAAGCTTCTTATTCAGCAAGTTCAAAATCAAGGATCTTAGCCCTCTCAAATATTTCCTTGGGATCGAAGTGGCTCGTTCTAAAGATGGCATAAACTTGTTGCAACGTAAATATACTCTTGATCTTCTTGCGGATGTTAGTCTCCTTGGTTGTAGAATTGCTACAACGCCAATGGAAAGAAATCTCAAACTTATAGCTTCTGACTACCCTATTCTTGATGGCCCTTCTCAATATTATCATCTTATTGGCTGCTTAATTTATCTTAGAAATACTAAGTCGAATGTATGCTTCACCATGAATCCATTAAGTCAATTTATGAAGTCTTCTTGTAAATCACATTTAGATGCTATAGTTCAATTATTACAATATCTAAAGCAAAACCCAAGACAAGGCGTACTCTTTTCTTCTGCAAGCCATCTTCAATTAACAGCCTTTTCTGACTTGGATTGAGCTAGTTGCATTTCTACTTGTCGGTCCACAACTGGGTTCTTAATTCTCCTTGGTGACAGCTTTGTTTCATGGAAAAGTAAGAAATAGAATACCATTTCCGTTTCATCCAAAGAGGCAGAGTATTGTGCAATGGCAACTATAACTAAGGAAATTATCTGGTTATGCACTCTATTACAAAGTTTTTGCCTTTTTTTTCTCTCGGGCCACTCCACTCTATTGTGACAAGCAAGTCACTCGACACATTGCTGCCAATCTTGTGTCCCATGAGTGGACTAAACATCTCGAAATCAATTGCCATTTGGTTTAAGAAAAGTTGCTTGTCGTGTCATTCATCCGCTGCCCATTTCCTTGTCTCATCAATCAACAGATGTCTTTACAAAGGCTTTGGGTGCTGATCACTTTCTTTCTTTGTGGGACAAGTTGGTCATTTATGACCTTCACACACCAGCTTGAAGGGGAGTATAAGGAATTTAATGTCAAATCTTAGATATATTATACACAATCTACAATTACCTTTTTTTTTTTTTTTACCTTTTCTTTAGGCTTAAGTTTAGGCTTGATTTAATTTCTCTTTTTCATGTCTATATATGTATCCGTTCACATAAAGTAAATAATATAGAGAGAAATCTTCATATTCATTAGTTTACAGAAAAAAGGCCGGGAAAATACTCAAATCTTCAATAGAATTTGGAATAATCTTGTGCCTAGTAAGATTGCAACTTTCTCATGGCAATTAGTTTAAGATAGATGCCCAGCAAAGCTAAACTTACTAAACAGACAAATTTTAACAGAACTTGAGATGGCTAGCTGTTGCTCATGCAAGGAGAACTTGGAAAGATCTGTGCACCTTTTTTTTAAAATATCTAATGTGGTGCAATTTTCATACTTCTTTGTCATAAACTTATATAATTTTCGTTTCTCAACTAATTTTTACATTTTTCGGTCCCTTAATCCCAAAAATTAAACGACTTAATCCTTCCATCAGTTAGGGCTATTAACTCAATGCATATAGAATTTTTTTAAATTTTTTTAATGACATGAACAAAACAACTTTAAAAAAAAAAATTGTTGACATTAACTAAAATTTATGCCACATAACCCTACCCATGTGCGAAAAAAAAAGAAGTTAAATGCCAAATTGCAAATGGACTCTTAAAATATTTTATGATGGGTCCCACATAAAATAATTATAATTTATTACTTTAATTCTTATAATTTAAATTTACAAAAATGTCTTCAATGTCTTTTCTTCCTTAAATAATCCTTCCCCTCTTTTCCCTTTTCCTTCCTTTGATTCTCAACTTCATCTTCTTCCTCATCTCTAGTGAACTCTTCCTTCTTTTTCTATTCTCTAGTGCACATCATCTTTAAAACCCTTCGTCTTTGCCTCCTCCCTTTACCATAGAACCCAGTGCTTGGGTTTAGAGGAACAAACATGTGCTAGGTTCATCGGGTTTGAAGGAACCTAGAAATGTTAGGTTCTAACAAACTCGTTGCTGGGTTCAAAGGAACTCAGATTTGGGTTCTAGTGGACCCAATAGCGTGTTTGAAGGAACCCTGATTGAGGTTCCAATAAACCTGACACGGGGTTTGAAGGAACTCAAATATGTTAGGTTCAAACACGAACTTATTGTTGGGTCTAAATTTGGGTTCCAATAAACCTAACAATTGATTTGAATGAACCTAGATGTGGGTTTCAATGAACCTAGATTCTAATTTCTATCTCTTTTGTTGATTTTTTGGTTGGCATTGCATATTATAATTGAGTGCTAGAGATGACTATGGTGACTAACTTTTGGAATTGAGATTGAATTTTTGTTTTTTGGTGTCACCCATGTGGGGAAAATCAAAGGAAACCAAGAAACTAGCATTGAAAAATGAACCTAAAATGGTTGAATCAGCATCATGCCGATAGACTTAATCGAAGAATGGCTTGAAGTTCTACAAAGAAGAAATTTATTTTTTTAGTTTATTAAATTTTTTTTAAATAATATATTTGTAATTTGATTAATTATTGATGGTAAATGATGTAAGAATAATGATAATTGGGACAAGAAAAATGGGATAAAAAACGGAGAACAGATATGAGGTGGTTGCCATCTCAACAAAATATTACTTCAAAAAGGGTCTCACATGACAAACAATCATCTTTTTCCTTCTTTCCTCTACCTATTTTTGCCTTCATCTTCATCGCATCCTTTATGTTTTCTCTCCCCCAAATCTTCCTCCTTTTTCTCACTTATCTTCCATTGCAAAGAGTGAATACCATTTCTAAGGTTCAATTTCTATCAATTAGGATTCAATTTCTCTCAATAGTTAGGTTTTAGTCTTTTTCTTTTCTTCAAAAGTTTAAAACAATGTCAATGGGGTTTTAAATAATAGAGATGCAGTTGACAGTCATACCATGGGGTTTTTATGTTTTCTCTCTCTCCCAATGTCACGTCCCAGAACCCAAATCCGAGGTGTGACAGACGCCATACACTCGTGAGAGGGTCCCACAAATGTACAAGGCTCGAAACTTATTCAATTCACAATTTAATACCATCAAAATCTGAAGATCAAATTTTATAATTTACTCTAATATCATAAATCTCCAAATACACTCTAGTTTATAAGATCATGATCTATATCTAAAATCCATATTCAATTTACAAAATGGCTAGCCTTTTAGCTCGTCACTTCCCGTGGTTTCCCCGTCCTCGGTTTCGCTTCCTGAAATGGTGAATAAAGAAAACTATGAGATAACTCAGTAAGTAAAATATGGAGTGCCCTTATTAAACTTATAGCATGCCAACATGTGCAATTACGAAAAACGGATACAGTACGGGAACGAAATAGATGTCTCCTTTATAGGTCACGGCCAGTGTTATAAACCTCCCACTGGCAGGCACACTATTTGCTGGTGTATAACCCCCACTAACAGGGTTGAACGAACTGGTTCTATCAATAACATATCGACATGTGCTAGCGTTTAACCCCCACTAGTAGGATCATTAATAACATAACCACATTGGAGACAAAACAGGCAGAAGTTAACAGAAAAATCTTAATTCACCAATCACTTTCAAATCATCAGGACAATCAACTAAATTTCAAGTAGGCATGCTCAAATCAATACAAAAATAATAATCTTATTTCAAATCAATCATGCTCATTTTTGTATAAAAGGAGTTTAGTCCTGCCATTACTTCAAAAACAAATTAAAACATGCTTTTAAAAACTATACGGGCATTACCATAAATTTATTTACCTCACTCACATAAAACCGAATACTCGATCTCAGTGCTCACTAACAGAATGATCGAGAACCTAATCAAAATATTTCAAGAATTAATTCCCATTACCACAAATTCAAAATGAAACTTCATTAAGACTATCCCTTAATCACAATGCTATTTCTATCAATCTCCACATGATCAAATATCTCCAAATTTGTTATTATATCACAAACTAATCATTTAAATCCCCGTTAATTGTTGACCCTAGGTGTGTGAACAGTAATCTGTGAACAGTGCCGTGAACAGTAACCACTACGTGAACAGTAACCACTACGTGAACAGTAACTCCAACTTCCAAAATTTGGCCCAAACACTAGCAAATTCACGGGATTTTCTCTCCAAAAATCACAGCAGTCAATTAACAAATTTTCTACATGAATTAAGCTAAATCATGGTCTAAATACTGTCAAATTCATCCCCATTTCTCACGGGCAGCACATGGAGAGCAATAATTCATGGACAACTCAGCAGCTAATGAATAATTTTAGGCTTAAAGGGGCTGTCCATACCAGAATTTAGCAGCCAAAAAACCGGACTGCAGTTGGGGGAAGGCCGGCGGCAAGTGCAGAAGAAAGCTCATGGGCTACCCAAAAATTCAAGGAAATAAGAGCAATTAAGGTAAACCCAAGGCAATTCAAAGCTAGAGAAGGGAGATTCCTGGCTATTTCTTACCAAAAACCGGAGCAATTCGCCCCCACAAACAAGAGCAGCCGGCGGACAGAGCAAAGCAGATCTGGATTTCTGCAGGGGAAGGGAGGTTTCCAAGCTCCAAATCTGGTTCTTGGACAAGAAAATAAAGAGAAAATCCAAGCTTTTTACCGGTTTTTTCTCAAAAATTGTTGCCGGCAGCTTGGGGGGATTTCGGGAGCTGCAGGGGAGAAGAAAAGAGCAGATGCGCGGGTGAGGAAGAAAAGAAAGAAGAGAAAAGAAAAAGAAAGAAGCTGATCCTTATCCAATTATCTTTCTCTTTTAAGTCCCTCACTTTTGAAATTTTGGGTATTAATCCCAAAACAATATTTTTTTGTCAAACAAGTCCCTAACTTAATGCTAAATATCACAAAATTTTGGGGTATTACACCCAAATCTTCCTCCTTGTTCTCTTGAATTTTCTTTGCAAAAAGTGAATACTCTTTTTAGAGTTCAATTTTACCTAATAGTTTAGGGTTTTAGTTTTCTCTTTTATAAAAAATAAAAATAATAACAATGGCCATGAAGTTTCAAATAATTTGGATGGTTTTGAACCGAATTGTACCATGGAGAAAGAGTTAGAGGCAAAAATGGAGAAGATGAGTGAGGGAAATATAAGAGAAATGAAATGAGATCGAGAGACAAGGATGGTCAAAATAAAAAAAAATTTTAAATTAAAATTTTTAAAAATAAAAATAATGATGTGGTAAGTCATGTCATTGATCCCGTAAAATCGTCATATATATTCATCCTTTGTATCATCACCTATGGTGTAAGGGCACACTACAATGTTTTTGAGATATTAGATAAGTTGGAAGTTGACTTTGTAGTATATCATTACCACATTACCTAAAACAAATAAAAAATGAAAAATGATTTAGGAATTATTTTTTATACTGTTTTTTGTATAATTTTACTGTTATTTAAATGATTGGCTCTTTTTATTTATTTAGGACTTATGATATTGAATGCGTGCACTTATCTAGTGACATGTGAAAGTTGTATAAAACAAATAGTACCAAACAGTTATTTTTATATCACCACCCTAAAAAAATACTACATGTATTGAGTTAATGGACCTAACTCACATAGGGACTAAGGCTGTAGTAGTTTTTTTTTTTTTTTTTTTTTTTTTTTTTTTTTTGTTGAGGGAATAAAAAAAATTTTAAAAATTAAGAAATAAAAATTTTGTAAAATTATAAAGTTAAGCAACCAAAATTGATATTTAACCTTCCTTGTAGTGTTCAATTGAAATAACATATTTTAGGTAATTTTTTTTCCTAATTTTTAAAAGTCTTTCTCTATAAATAGAAGTTAATGTATATCAGTTTTGACTCAAAAAATAATTTGAGTCCTAACCTATATTTGGAAACTAAAATCTTAATTTAAAATTTAGAAATCCACTATATTAAATGTAAATACCTAAATTAAAAAACTGATTCTAAATCTAAATATCAACATTTAATAAGATAGATTTTTAAATTTTGAATTAAGTTTTAATAAAATAAAATGACTTAGTTTAAGGTAAGAATTCCAATTTATTTTGAAAGGACTAATATGCACTTTTTCTATATATATATATATATATATATATCAAAAAAGTGGGTATCAGTTGTATTGCAAAAAATTAGGCAAAAAATTTATCTCAAAACTATGTTGTTTTAATAAAATTTTATTGCAAAAGACTAAAATATTTGAATTATTTTTAAAGTAAGAATGAAGATATTTTAGTGCTTTTTCTTAATGTTTTATTAAAATGAAATACCTTTAAAAAGTTTTTCCGCTTCATTTTTTTGTAGATTTGACGAATAGAAAAGCAAGTCGTTTTCTTAAATTTTTTTGGCTATAAATCAACTATCTAATTAATATTTTCAAAAACCGATCATTGGATTAAAAGTTCTATTAATGTAAATCATGCATATTAATTTTCATATTATTCTAATACTTATAACCTTTTGATAAAAAAAACTTTATTTACTGATATATATTTAACGGTGTTAAATTTTTTATAATCAACAAAATAGTTAGGCCTATTAGAACAATTTGAAAATTAGTGTAAATAATCTAGATGAATATAGCTTTTAATCCATCAGTTGGTTTTCAAAAGTATTAATTAGAAGAAGAGTTTTTAAACCTACAAAATTTCTTTTCATATATATATATATATATATAAGGAAAAATTAAGGCGCCCTAACATTTTAAAATGTCTAATCACAACCATTAAATATGTAAAATATAGTGTAGACTCTAAGTTTATCGAATTTATTATGTAGTTATTATTAGACATGCTTATTTTCCATTTTTCATATATATATATATATATATATAAGTATGATTCATTTACATACAAATCTTACACACTACACTTACACAAAATCTTAATCGTTGGATCCATTTACAGATAAGTCTTACACACTACTCTTATACAAAATCTTAACCATTCATCTCCTCTTTTTCAATGGTTGAGATTTTGCACACAGATCTTACACACCATACTTACACAAAATTTTGACCATTCATCTTTTCACTTTACTAGTTAAGATTTATCATGATTTTTTATGTGAAAAAGTTAATTATCTTTAGTAAATATGAATAAATCTCAACCATTAAAAGTGAACAGATGAATGATCAAGATTTTGTATAAATATAACATATAAAACTTGTGTGTAAGTGAATCCCTACTCATATATAAAATAGTGCATATTAGTGTTGACTTCATAGGTCAATTTGGCAGTTATAATCCATTGGATAGCGGTAACAGATGATGGGTAGCAATTAGCAAACTGCAAATGGTAGATAATGAAAAGTGGATAACGAATTGTAAATAATAGATTTTTATTAATATAATCACTTGGTTATATAATGATTAACTATTGTTGTTTAATGTCAAATGATTAAAATGTGTATATTTAAAAGCAATTAAATATATTTTTTAAAATATTGTTTATTATTAAAATTATTAATTTTATAAAAAAATAATAATAAATAAATAAATAAAATATAAAAGTGTGAATCATACACTTATTTTTATTTTTAACAAAAAAATA